CCTAAGATTGTTTGACGGATTCCGGCATGCGCGGGCGACGACGCGCGCGTGTGCGTGTCGGCCCACTTGTTGCAAACGATGTTTGTAACTTGATAGCTTTTGATCAACGAGTGTGCGCGCATTGTTCTGCTGCATTTGATGGTTGGGCGGGGTCGAATGTGGCCCGGCAGGGGTAGTATGCATTCATGGTGGGAATGAGCGACGGGGCAGAATCGCATGCAAACTGCGCGTCCCCAGTGGGGGGGCGATAGTTACAGTTTCGGGAGTGGTAGGTTTTAGTTTCTTTCAGAAAAAATGGGAATCGACGTTGTTCAATTTAGGCGGCGATGGGGCAGCGACTTCGGCTACATAGCCGCCAGACCGACCGACAGGCCCAGAAGACGGGCGGTGACGAGGCGGCGACGGGGTGGCGACGGCGGCTACATCGCCGCCAGACCGACCGACAGGCCCAGATTTCGAGGCGGCGACGAGGCGGCGACGGGGTGGCGACGGCGGCAACATAGCCGACAGAGCGACAGACAGGCCCGGTTCCGTAGAACACCAGCAACGACCCGAAGTGCTAGCATCTCTTGGGAATTATCTATGACTAGGGTCTTGGTATATATACATATGCATATGCAGTTGCACATGCAATCACATGTGAGCCAGCGAGGACCTCAAACAGTGTGATACGTGCACAACTTATATATATATATGTGTATATATATATATATATCGATTAAGCAAACGATGTGGTGCAACTTATGTGGTGCAATATGCGTGGTGCCACCAACCTGATGCAAACGATGTGGTGCAATCTACGTTATGACTTTATTTTGTGCAATATTATACGTTGCGCACTACATGTGGTGCAGTCTGGGTTATGCAATCTACGTGGTGCTATTTATATGGTGCCGACCACGTGATGCAGTCTATGTGATGCAATCTACGTGCTGCAGTTTATGTGGTGTAATTGATAATTGCCCACCAGTGAATTCTCAACTGCTCGCCCAACCACGCGCAACGTCGTTTGCAAACCCCATGAGGCGGCAATTATGATGCCTGCCTGGCGCTGGCTGGCGCATCGCTGCGGCTGCGCCGGCGCGCGCAGATTTGCGCAAAGAGCGGCCAGCTAATATGGCGCGGCGGACGCGGCCACGGTGGTGCTGACCGCTGAGCTGGGGACTTCCTAACGTGTCTCGCAGGCCGCGTTGACACGCGGGCACTTCAGTGCAAGTCGGTGATTCGGGCTGGCGCGGTATCGTGGCGACGTTGACAATGGCAAACACGGCCCTGATTGCAGCGATGTCAGTGACGACGATGACGATGATGATTGCAGGGCAAATGATGGTTCCGATGCTTACCAGGCCGGTGACGATGATGGTGTCCACGCGTCAGTCGTGAAAGTTTTTGAGGATTTCGACGTGCGCGCGCGGCCGACGGGCGCGACTGGCCCGCACGTTCTCACATGACACGGATCGTGCCCCCCCAGCGCGCGCGCCAGGCCGTTCGATTGATTCCAACATGCGCGAGCGAAAGTCCCGCTTGTTCGCATCTAGCGACAGACATAAGCAAGAGAGCGCGGTTCCTTTAAGAATTCGCAAGTGGGCGCGCGCAGCCTTTTCAACATATGGTCGCGCGTGTTCATATATATATATATATATATATATTATTGGGACACTCGGTCTTGAAACCGTTGCGGAATATTCCGAAATGCGCGCGCGACGGAGTGTTCGCGCGCGTTTCGTCCCATTTTGTTTTACGAACTGGTTGTTGCCAGTGGATGATATGTTATAAACGAGCGCGCGCATCGCATCTGTTGCAAGGGATTGGGGGGAGTCGATGCCGGCCTGGCTGGGATGATAGGGTCTCATTCTAAGAATGAACGGTGGGGCATCGTCATATGTAAGTTGCACATCCCCAGAATGGGCAGTCAATCCCATGGGCGCGGAGTATATGAGGTTCTTTTTTCCGCAAAGGGAAAATATGTTGTGCAATCCGCGTGGTGCTATCTATGTTGTGCAGTTTACGTGGGCCCGCCCGCGTTGTTCAATCCAAGTTGTGGGATATATGCGGTGCCACTGTTGTGGTGCAGTCTTAATTGTACAATCTACGCGGCGCGGCCCATGCGGCGCAATGTATGTCTATGTGGCGCAGCGGTTTTTCTATTCGCAGTGAATTATGAACTCCATTGCTCGCGCGCCCATCCCGCCCGCCCACCCGCGACTTTGTTTCCTGTGCCCATGCGGCGGCGATTGCGATGAGTGCTTCGCGTTGACTGGTGCGCGTCTGCGGCCGCGCTAGCCCGCGCGTGCTCGCGCGCGCAGCGGCCGGCGAGTTCGGCGCGACCGACGCGGCCGCGGTGGCGCTGACCGCTGGGCACTTCCCGGCGGGCACTTCAACGCGAGTCCTCGACTTGGGCGGGCACGGCAACGCGGCAACGTCGACAATGGCGGGCTCGAATGATTTTGATATGCGGCGCGAGAGGCCCCTTTGGTTGAACTCTACGACAATCTTGGAAACCTACGGTTGTGTCAAGATTCCAGCGCGCGCGGGCGACGACGCGCGCGCGCGTGAATTTCGCCCCGCTTTTGCAGCGGATTCTCGCGACAGCGCGCGCGCGCGACGGCGTCCGAATGTTTCCGGCGCGCGCGCGCCAGAGGCACGTTTGGTAGCATGTTATGAACATTGTAAAAATCATGTGTTTTTTGTTAGCAATAAGTCCCGAGACCGCGAGCGCCGGCATTTTTGTTTGGGGGTGGATTTTTTGTGCGAGACCATGCTTTTTGCGTATACATATATAACAAATCCCTGGAGGGCGATTTCAAAATCCTTACGCAACTTATGGTTGTTGATGGATTTCGGCACACGCGCGCGCGACGACGCGCGCGCACACTTCGTCCCATATTTTGCCAGGGGTTTCTGAAATCTGCTGATTTGTGATAAACGAGTGCGCGCGCGTATTCTTTTTAACGGGGCCTGAGGAACTGGGGGTCGATATCGGCCTGCCTGACATAGTATAAGTTCATATTTAGGTGTAAACATCAATGCGAAGAGGGGGGCCGTTAAGTTCGGGTGGGAGGGATCTTCATATTCTTTTGGCGAAGAGAATATGTGGTGCAATTCTTTCTGCCGAACCTGAAGTTACCAACCCTAGTGCTCGCGCAGTCGTCCCACAGACCCACCGCAAATAGGTTTGCAACACCATGCGGCGGCGATTGCGGTGACTGCTCGGCGCCGGTTGGTGCATCGCCGCGGCCACGCTAGCGCGCGCGTTCGTGGGCAAAGCGGCCTGTTACATTGGCGCGACCGACGCGGCCGCAGTGGCGCTGACCGCTGGGCTCGTCCCGCCGGACACTTCAACGCGAGTCGGCGACTTGGGCGGGCGCGGTATCATGGCAACGTCGACATCAGTATACGCGATGATGATAGTAGCGATGTTGGCGACGATGAGGACGCCGACGACGGTGCGGGCAGTGACGGCGCCGATGCTTATCACACCGACGACGATGACGGCGTCTTCGCGTCGATGATGAGGGTTTCGGAAGGAGTTCGACATGCGCGCGCGGCCGACGCGCGAAAGTGGTCCGCATGGTATTATTTGACGCTGGCCGTGCCCCCCCAACCCCCGCGCAAAGGCTGCGGCGCGAGAGGCAAGTTTGGTCGAATTTGATGAACACGTTGAGAATCTTGAGCTTTCTCCAGAAATCGCAAGACCGCGAGCGGAGGCTTTGACTGAAAGTTGAACTATATGTATGTATGTATGTATGTATGTATATATATACATATGTATTCGAGGAGCTCGGTTCTGAAATCCCTACGCCATCTAAGGTTTTGTTTAAAGGATTCCGGCATGCGCGCGCGACGGCGCGCGCTTGCGCTTCGTCCAGTTTTTTTGCAAGGGGTTCTTGTGAAAGCACGCGCCGCATGGGGGTTCTTGCGATTTCGACTTGTGCGCGTTAGGGGCACGTTGGGTAGGCTTACGTATATCTAACAATTGAATGACCTATTGGGGGTCCGTAGAATTCGCAAGACCGCGAGAGCCGTTGTTTGTGTTTTGTGGGGGAGTTTCTTGTTGCGTAGCCATGCGTTCTTATACCTGATTTCGGGACATTCGGTTTTGAACCCGTTACTCAATGTAGCGCTGTTGATGGATTCCGGCATGCGCGCGCGACTACGCGCGCGCGAGCTTCGCCCCATGGTTTGCAAAGGATGTTTGAAAACTTCTTTTGTGATATACGAGTGTGCGCGTATGTGTTTTTGGCAGAGGGAGAAGGGGGGGGGCGATACCGGCCTGCCTGGGATGGTAAGAGTTCAGACTTCGGATTGACGATAGGGCGGAATCATGAGAAAATTGCAATACGAAGAGGGGGCCGTTCAGTCCCGGGGGGGGGATCCGAACAGCTTTTAGAAACGGAGAATTTACGCAGTGCAACGTATTCTGTGTAAGCGAGGCCCGAAGACGGGCGGCGACGAGGCGGCGACGTGGCCGCGACGTCGGCTAATTAGCCGCCAAAACGGCATTCCAGCCCACACGATGGGCGGCGACGAGGCGGCAACGGGGCAGCGACGGCTGCAACATAGCCGCCCGAGCGGCACACCGGGCTTCACAACGGGCGGCGACGATGCGGCGACGGGGCGGCGACGGCTACAACATAGCCGCGTGGCGACGAGGCGGCGACGGCGGCAACATAGCCGCCAGAACGGCACACCAGCCCAGTTCACTAGAGCATACCTACTTAGCTACCTACCGACCCACGTATATAGGTGGATCTACATGTATATGTATATGTCAATTTGTATAAATGTATGTATGTATGTATATATATATATATATTATATATATATATATATATATAATATATACTCTTGCGTAGGAAAACAGAGAGAGAGAACAAACATTACATGTGAGAGAGAGAGAGGGTGGGGGAAGAAGAGCTGGGAGGAGAGGGTGGGAGGAACGGGCGGGGGCCCAGCGCCAGCCCGCACAGAGCGAAGGAGGAGGGGAGGGCGCCCGCCAGGGCGACATGCAGCGGGCCGCGGCCTCGGCGCCGACTCGTGCCCGCCTCCTCCGCGAGCCCCCTCCCCGCACCCCCTCCCGCCCCGCACCTCCGCCGTCCTTCGCCATGCCCAGATCCCCGAAGACATGATTTTGGTAGTCCCGGCGTGTTCATTTCGACTTCGGCCTCCGGGGCAAGCGACCGACTCTTTTTATGGCTGCGCATGGAACACATATACACGGAGCTCATTTCTAGAATCCGGTTCTGGGGTATGTGCGGCGGGGCGTTGTTGTCCGCGCTGCCGAATGCATGTGGTTTTTATTCGGGACTGTACGACATGTGCGGGCATGTTCGGGGGGGCGGTGTCGTCCGCACTGCCCCGCGCAACCGTGCACAGATGGATGTGCACCGACTGTGCGGCATGTGCGTCCAGCAAAAACAATTCAAGTAAATTGATGAACTCCTCCTCTTCATCCGCCTCCTCCTCTTCTTATTGCTCCTCTGTCTCCTCCCCTCGGGCGTGCATACGTTCTTGAGGTTCATTCGTATCGCTCCATGCTCCATTCTTGAAGCCCGCGGTGGACAGAGTGACGAGTTGATCGGGTGGATGATCGTCGCGCTCTCCCCTTTTGCCTCCTCCTCCTCCTCCTCCACTTCCTCTTCCTCCTCCTCCTCCTCCTCCTCCTCCTCAACAGCGTGGACAACAGGCAGGACCGCCCAGTTATGGGTTTGAATGCGGGTCGGGGCGCCGTATTCTCATCCTCCCCCCAATGCGAGTTCACTCTTCCTCCTCCTCCTTCCTCGCCGAAAGATGCGCTTGCTGAAGAAAAGGAAAAGACATGCGCTCCGTGTATCGGCGGAAGTCGGGGTGGCCTGCTCGCTGACTGGGCCGGCGCCCGCCCGCTGCGCTGCGGCCGTCGCTGTCCTGGCTTGGCAGCCACTTTTCTCGGCTACGCGTTCTTGGATTTGGTCTCCACGGGGCCCCATAAAGCCGCGCAGCAAAGGTCGCTCTTGCCCAGGGTCGCTCTTGCGTGTGGTCGAATTTTCCGCGACTGGTGCCAGAGTCCGTCCGTCGTCGCCGCCTCGTCTGCCGCGTCGTCCTTTTTTGTGGCCCTGAGGTCCCCGCGCGCGGCCTCGCCGTGCCCTGCGACTTGAGGCCCGAGTCTTGAGAGCCTCCACGCCTCGCCACACGTGCCCGCATCGTCAAAACATACCCAACGGACGGGTGTTGTCAGTTTCTGCGTCGGGGGGCACTCGCCGGGCCCTGGGGCCGTCAAGAGACGACTCGGGACGAAGAGCTGGCTCTGGGGAAGGGGGCCAGGACTTGTGGGGAGCTCCGTGTGGAAAAGAGCAAGACATCGGATGTCTGGGCCCCCTTCCCATCGATCCCTGCTCCTCCCCCGGCCCATCCCCTCCGTTCTTCTCCGCGACTGCCTTTCCCCCATTTGCTTCCAGGCCAGCCCCAGTGTTCAGTGGGCTGGCGGGGCCGAGGGAGTGGTGCCCCCATCTCCTACAGCCCCGCCCACTCGCCTTGACCCTGGGCCGCTGGCGCTGGGAGGCGCGGGGAAAATCAGCTACGCCAGCTGATTGCCCCCCCCCCCCCGCCGACTATCCCCCCCCTTCTCTTGATCTCGTTCGGACGTGTGCATCCTTCCCTCGGAGAGGACCATCGAGGAGCATCTTGGATCGCCTGACGAGAGAATAGACGCACGGAGCCGACACATGCACGTGGAATGCATCGTTTAGGCGCAGAAGGGGGTCAGGGGGACGGGGGAAGGCTTCTTCGAAGGAGCCTGCTTCTCAGAAGGCGCGGGCCTTCTCTACAGATGCAGGGCCACGACTTTCACGAAGCGGCCTCCTCCTTAGAAGCCGCCTCCCCCCCCACCCCCTACGTGCAGCCAAGGACGGACGTCCGAGCGACGGCAAGTTATTCCGCCCCACAGGGCAACGCCCATTCCGCCCATAGGGCAACGCCCATAGGGCAACGCCCAGCCCCCGGCGTCATCCACACCGACCAGGCGCCAGCTGCAGGAGCCCTCCGCGCCTGCCGACCAGGCCCCCGCGGCGGGGCGCGAGGCTCGGGTCGGCCACGCGCAGAGGGGGGGAGGGGGGGGGTAGGGGGGAACGGCTTCTCAGAAGCAGGCTTGTCCCTAGGTGCAGGGCCAGCGCCTTCTAAGAAGCAGCTCCCTTCTAAGAAGCCTTCCCCCTCCCTTCACCCTCTTTGTGCGCGCCGCCAACAAGGGCTCAACGAGTCGGCTCTGCGTGAGAGTGACCCTTCGGCGGGGCACGTTTGGTTCGGGTCCACAGATGCGAGTCTGTTCGGCAACATGTTTGTTTTTTCAATTCTGTTTGTTTCCACGATTTTGGTTTAGGTGGCGCGTTATCGGGGCCCGAGACCTGCAAAAGTTGTTCGGGGGCGAAAAACTGGCCCCGTGGAAGCGATCGGACCCCTCTGGGGCCACGCATTGAAATAACAGATTGGCGGGCCTCCCCGGGATCCCCTCAAGCCGCGCACCAAAGGTCACCCTGCCACTCTTTGCCTAGGGTCACCCTTGCGTGCAGCCGGGTCAAGCTGGGCTTGGCTGCGGCCTAAGGCGCCCCGGCCGGGAGGGTTCTTCCAGAGCCTAGGAGCCACGGCCGCCTCGCCGTTGCCTCATAACTCGGTTGTGCATCAGTTGCCGCCATAAGGACGTTTAAAGAAATGGGCTGATTTCGAATGAGGATTCGCACACTCGTCCACGTCGTGCCAAGCGCATTCCTGGATCAGTAAGGTGGTTATTCAAATAAACGCCCCCGAGGGGGCAGGCACCACTGCCCAACTTTCTTTGGTCCTGGTCGCTCCAGCCAGCAAGTACAAGGACCGTACACGAATGAAAGCTGAGGAGGGTACGGGGGAAGAAGAGGCGGAGGAGGAGGAGTAGGAGGAGGAGGAGGAGGAGGCCCGGGAGGAGAGGCTGGGAGGACGAAGTTCAGGGAGGCCGGAGGAGGCCCAGGAGGGGCAGGTGGAAACAGAGGTGGGACTTGAAGATGGGGGATTCGCAGGGGCAAGATTCGCAGGGGGAGAACAGGAGGAAGAGGCGGAGGAGGAAAACGTGGAGGTGCAGGAGGATGTGGAGGACGGGGCGGCTGGGGACGAAAAGGGAGAAGAGGAGAAGGAGGATGAGGAGGAGGAGGAGGAAAAAAAAGAAGAATCATGATAAGAAGAAAAAGAAAAGGAGGGGGAGCAGGAGGAGGTGGAGGAGGAGTGTCAGAAGGATCAGCAGCAACTGAAGGAGCAGGTTGACGAGGAGAAGGCGGAGGAATGTAAGTGAGGTGTGAGGAGGAAGATGTGATGGTGAGGGGCTTGTTGGTGAGGGGAATGCAGAACAAAACGGCGCATAGCAGGAGGAGGCTCAGGAGTACCTCGACGACGTCCACGAGGACGGGTTGAACGCCCCTCAGGGGACAGACGCGGGTGGCCCACTTTTGTCGAACATGGTCGCTGTGATGCAAAAGTGGTGGGATGAACCGATTTGGGGACGCATGGTGGAAACAAAACAGGGCCACGTAAAGAGGTGCCCAAGACGGCCCCAGGGGGTTGGATAACTTCCAAGAGCCAGCCAGGACGGCCCCAAGACGCTTCATAATAGCTCCAACGATCGCCCGAAGCTGTCCCAAGCGGCGGACGAAGCCACAAGAGGCAGGCGGGCGCCCGGCGCGTGACATCGACGATGTGGTCTGCTGGCAGCAACGGGCGTGGAACGTTCGAGCCGATTACCTGGTCAACTACACCATGGAAAGCCGGAGGTCCTGGTTTCAATCTGGTCGAATTTCCACCGAAGACCTTGCGAATGCGAACTTCCTGGTGCACACAGATGGCGGCACGCGTGCCGGGACGTGCTCAGCAGCTGCTTGGTGCATCGAGGCGGTTGTGTGCAAGGGGGCCTATGCAGTGACGACCCCAGTAGTCATAGCAGGAACTTTTATCAGCGATCCGATCTCTTCCTTCACGGCGGAATCGATTGCTCTAGATGAAGCAGTCGAGGCTGTGAGGAAACTTACGCTTGAAATAGGCAGCCGGCCGTCCAACATGTGACCTAGGCCTCGAGAAAGAAAAGGGTCTTGGGTAAATTACTTGGACTCCGTCGAAGGGCGTCCCGGAGGCCGGGGGGCGTCAGAACGGATGAACAAATATCCAAGAAGGCGACCAAACGGTCCACGATAGGTCCGGGATGCTTTGATGACGGCTCAAGAGGCCTCGAAGAGATCCGAAGGTGGCCAGAGAGGCCCCTGGAGTGCCACAAGAGGACCCAACATCAGAGCCCCGAATCATCAGGGGTAACTCGGGTCAGGGATAACTCGGGTTCCTTTTTCGGGAATCCGAACCCGAGTTACCCCGGACCCGAGTTACCCCGGATAACTCGGGCGCCCAAGAGCCCCGAATCATCAGGGGTAACTCGGGTCAAGGATAACTCGGGTTCCTTTTTCGGGAATCCAAACCCGAGTTACCCCGGACCCGAGTTACCCCGGATAACTCGGGCGCCCAACAACAGAGTTCCACCAGGCGGAAATGTGAGATTGTTTTTCTCTGTTTCAGCTTCTTCAAGTTTTTGGCTCAGCGCGAGTCGAAGAAGGCTCCATTAGGTTTCGAGACGGCCCACGCACCACATCAGCGGGAGATCCCCTTCTTTCGTCCCACCTGTTTTGCCGTTCGCGCACTTGCACATGCTTGTGTCCTTCGCCCATTTTTTGCCAGTATGGACATATGCCGATGTGCCGATGCGCTGTTATGGATATGTTTTCTGATGGTGTGCCAGTGTGCCCCTATGGGCATACTTGTGGCCGTGCTGTACATAGCCGGCGCTATCCTTGAATCGCAGCGTTCGCCCTTTATGATTTATCAGTTGGCCCCCAATATTCCCTTCTTTCTTCGGTCTGGCAACAGTTGCACCCGTTACCCATTTGACTGTTCACACCTTCGTGAAAATTGCTGACGCTTAGCGAATCCTCACCAGCCCATCCTAAAACAGCCGTTCTGTGAATAAGCATCGATGATG